ACGCCACTGGAACCTGTTGCTGATGACATGATATGATTGCTAATGTAGTGTTATTGTAGATCACCTGCACTCCATACAGCTTTATGATCTCTTTCTTATCTTTCGTGGTGCACGTAGTGATAAAGTGGAAGGAAGGGAGGGAGCGACATAATTACCTAGTCACTATGGGACTTCAATTGCTTTGCAGTTTCAACAAAACAATAGAATTGCAAGTTTTATCATTTCACCAAATTGAGTGTTGGGTTTTGGAATGTAGGCACTTTTTTCCAACATTTTTTGGTGCTAAAAACTTACCAGTGCCGGGTTCTCCATGCTGAAAACCATTGATGGATCTGTTCTTGTCAAAAATAGAGTCATTTTTTGGAGACATAAAACCTCAGGGACAAGGTTCAAAACAGCCTCTGAAAATAAAGGGTACCTGCTAACCATGGCTCTTCTACTACTTTATCTACATACATTTCCAGGGACAATATCTGGAACCCAGGAACTGTCCTTAGATCCAAGGCAGACTTGCCAACTAAGACTCTTCCAAACCTTAAGTATCACTTACAGTAGGGCAGCTGATGTCACCCCCATCACTTGGTAAATCAGAGTGCTGGGTTCTACATACTAAAAGCCATTGATGGGTCTGTTCTTGTCAAATGCTTGTCAAATGCTAAAAGTAGAGTAATTTTTGGAGACATGGAAACCCAAGGACAAGGTTCAATAGCTGCAACAGCCTCTGAAAATAAACGGTACCTGCTAAGAATGACCCCTCTACCACATACTCTGCAGATATTTCCAGGGACAATATCTGGAGCCCAGGATCTGTCCTTAGGTCTAAGGCAGACATGTCAACTAAGAGCCTCCTACTCTTCCAAGCCTTAAGTATCACTTACCCAGGGCAGCTGATGTCACCCCCCATCAATTGGTAAATCCAGAGTGCTGGGTTCTACATACTAAAAGCCATTGATGGGTCTGTTCTTGTCAAATGCTAAAAGTAGAGTAATTTTTGGAGTGATGGAAACCCAAGGAGAAGGTTCAAAAGCTGCAACAGCCTCTGAAAATAAACGGTGCATGCTAACAATGACCCCTCTACCACATACTCTGCAGACATTTCCAGGGACAATATCTGGAACCCAGGAACTGTCCTTAGATCTAAGGCAGACTTGGCAACTAAAGTAGGGTATGCACGGTCAGAATTTCGTAAGAACTAATCGGTTTTCGGAACATTCGTTCTAACATTGGTCAGTCAGTATGGTGCAATCTACAAATGAAAACGACAATGTTTCCTAAAACTTTAATAGAAGCATGTTGGAAAAATTTTCAGGATCGAACGGATTTCTAACAGTCTGTGTGGTTTTCATTCTGAAACTCCATTAGTTCCAAAAAATAATGTTAAATAAAAGCGAAAATGAAATGAAGTTTCAAAGGACAATCCGCAAGTTTCTGATGCCAGTACTGAACTTTCTGACAGTATTTTCCATACGAATGTTCGTGCAAAAATCTACCTGTGTATACTTAACACTCTTCTATCCATCTTACAGTTGATGTCAACCCCTTCACTTGGTAAATCAGAGTGCTGGGTTCTATATGCTATAAAACATTGATGGGTCTGAAACCTCTGAAAATAAAGGTTACCTGCTAACTATGACCCTTCTACTACATTCTCTACAGACATTTCCAGGGACAACATCTGGAACCCAGAAACTGTCCTTAGATCCAAAGCAGACTTGCCAACTAAGACTCTTCCATCCATAAGTATCACTTACCCCCGTACAGGTGATGGTATCCCCATAATTGGGTAGAGTCCGGAGTAACCCCCTGTCCTGGGCATGGAGTCCATACAGCGAGCTGAGCACCAGCAGGCAGCTGAAGAAGACCACCCGTGTCATTGTCACCCGGCCAGGGAGGTCACAGAACAGACACGAAGATCGCACTTCAATCTTTATAACCAAGTCGGGAAGAGGCGGAAGATCGGAATGACTTCAATGTAACAAGTTATCAAAGTAAAAGGACAGCCAAGGGGAGAAGTGGAGGGGACCCCCTTGGTGGGCTATGAGGGGTCCCAGTGGAGCTGTCCGATCAGTCCCGATTAGATCCTGACACCCGTGTCACTGTCAGCCGGCCAAACAGTTCAGAGTACAGGCAGGAAGGACTCCAGAGGAAACTTTGTATCCCAGTCGGGAAGAGTAAAAAGCTGATCGGAATGACTTTAATATAACAAGTTATCAAAGTTATAGGACAGCCAAGGAGAGTAGTGGAGGGGACCCACCAGATGGGCTATGAAGGGTCCCAGTAGAAGAGTCCGATGTGTTTTAATCAATCCCGACAGATCCCTAACCCGCTTCTCTGCTCATGACAAGTTGTCCGTCCAGCGGATCCCAGGTGCTTTCAGGCTGGAGTAGAGTTGTGTCTCCTGAGTGACTTGGGGCCCCTGCTGCGTGCTGTCCAGGGTCCACCGGCAGCTCTGTCCTGAGTTGTTCAAACTTCAGATCAGTTCCCGATTGCTGAGACCCGCCTCTCCCTCCTCCGCACCCTGCTGGAAGGAGAAACACCTCCAACTGCTAGAACAGCTTCACTCACTGACACTGAGTCACCATGGCGACCCTGGGAGGTGCAGCAGTGTGCTGGGTGCCAAGTGTCACTCGCTCCCTACTGGCAGGGGCAGTGGCATTCCTTCTGTCTCTAGATCTGATAGAGGAATCTGTATCACGTATTACCTGACAGTAAATTATTTGAGTTATTATTGAACTTTTTACCTGATGAGTGTTATTTTTTCCTTGCTTGTTTGTAGCTTTTTTTTCTGTGTCCCCTTGAGGATGGTTTGGGGGTGAGGCATCCAGGAGACACAACAGGAAGTCAGAGGAAATCTCTCCAAAGTAAGGGGAATTCTATTCTAAGGGCTCATTTACTTCTTTGTCTTGCATTGAGACATGCAGTAACGTGTTGGGTCAAGGCAGCCCATTGAAATGCATGGGCTGCCAACGCACCCTAATGTGCCAAAACTGGACATCAATGTCTTTTTGTCCTGCAAAGCATGGCAAGGCGCTGTGATGTGCTACAACGCAGATGCATTATTGGGGTGCCATTCAAAATAAATGACACCACCATGCAGGAACACATATGCGTTGCTGTGTCTTGCGGTAATGTGTGCATTACCATGATGCCTCAAGCTGGGTATACACGCTTCGAAACTCACATGATTCTTGATGAACCGGCCCCCATCAGCACTAGGGCTGCAACAACTAATCGACATAATCGATTATAATCGATTATTGAAAAAGTTGTCAACTTTTTCAATCATCGATTAATCGGCTTCCGATCAGTTGGCCCTGTTCACGGCTCCACACACGCTGCGCGTCCTTCCCACCTCACACTCACCACCTGCCCACATCCACGATCGGCACAGGGACGCGGGGAGATGTAGTAAGGAGGAGGAGGTGTGGGGGGGATGACAGAGGCCAATAGACAGGCCCAATCTCAGAAGCAAGTTGCTGGAAGACTGCTCAGGTAAGCCTGCACTTTCCCACACATGGTGCTCTATAATGTATTGCTGGGATTTGTATTCCTCTATAGCTGATGGTACATTGTACTGTACATTATACATAGGAATACAAATACCAGCAATACATTATACACTGTATGAATAATGTATTGCTGGGATTTGTTGTACTCCTCTATAGTTGGTGATATTCTGCACTGCGCTGTATAGAGGACTACAAATCCCAGCAATAATACATTATACAGCGCCATGCGGAATTCCACCAGCTATAGAGGAGTACAACAACACCCAGCAATAGTACATTATACAACGGTGCAATGCGGAATACCACTAGCTATAGAGGACTACAAAACCCAGCAACAGTACATTATACAGCGCAATGCAGAATACCGCCAGCTATAATGTACTATTGCTGGGATTTGTTGTGCTCCTCTATAGCTGGCGGTATTCTGCATTGTGCTGTATAATGTGCTTTTGCTGGGTTTTGTAGTCCTCTATAGCCGGTGCCATTCTGCATTGATTGCTGTATAATTTTAAACTTTCCATTTCACTATATTGCGCACCACACTTTTTTTTTTTTACTTCCACCGCTCCAAAGCTGGCTCCTGTGATGGACTACAATCTCAAAACAAACTAGTAGTCCATCACTGCAGCCATTTTAAAAAATGTATTTAATTGTTTATCCGATTAACCGATTAATCGAACTTAATAATCGGCTAACTAATCGATTTTGAAAATAATCGTTAGCTGCAGCTCTAATGAGCACCCTTCCACCCGGCATCCCTCAATCAGCTGATTGAAGGGGCCGGTAGGAAAGTTCTTGGCTGAACAGTGCTTGCAGCCAATCATCTTCTGCATCAGATATTTGTTTGAAACCATCTAGGGAGTTCCACCACAGCCAATTGCCTTGGCAGAGTTTAAATTGATCCAGGGATCAGCAAATTGATTGAATGGAAGATCTTCAGTTTATTTGTATTTGATTCAATCACTTTAATCGCATTGAAGGATCTATGGATGCACCAATAACGTTTTTTCGGTATCGAGTACGAGTACCGATTTTTTTTTAGGTACTGGATACCAATACCGGAAGCCCAATTAAGGAAGCCAGGTGGCGTGCAATGACTTGCCACCTGGCTTCCTGATTAGCCGGGAAGGCGGGCGGCGTCTTCATGCTTCCTGATTAGCCATCTCCGGCCAGCTTCTCGAACAATCAGGAAGCCAGGCGTTGAGTCATTGCATGGCGCCCTGCTTCCTGATTGCCCAGAAAGCTGGCTCTATGCTCCCTCGTCACTAGGTGACAAGGGAGCTGGAAGCCAGCTTTCTGGCCAATCAGGAAGCTGGCCGCTGTGTAATGACTCCCCACTTGCCTTCATGATTGGCCGGCTTCTCGACCAATCAAGAAGCCAGGCGGCATGTCACTTTACGGCGCCCGGCTTCCTGATTAGCTAGAAAGCTTGCTCCATGTTCCCTCATCACCGACCAATCAGGAAGCTAGGCGGCGAGACATTACACGCTGCCTGCTTCCTGATTGGCCGGGAAGCTGGCTCCATGCTCCCTTGTCCCAATGATGAGGGAGCATGGAGCCGGCTTCCTGGCGATTCAGGAAGCCGGGCAGCATGTAATGACTCACTGCCCGGCTTCCTGATACCGGACGTTCAGGTATCGGGCTAGGCATCGGGCTAGGCATCGAGTACTTGCCCAAATACTCGGTATTGGCACATACCGAGTGTGTGGGGGTCTCACTGGACCCTCTGCAGGTTTTAACACCCTGAACTTCAAAACTTGAAGGATTTTGGGGGCTCTAATGGTGGACTATAACAAATGGAAGTCCGGCTGGCTCTCTTAATTCTCTGGCTTATCCCCAATCAATAATTAAAGTGTTCAATGCTGTGTATGTGATAAGAATGTATTATTTATTTCTCAATCCCGGGAATAGTCGGCCACACCGAGGGAAATGTTACTTTATTATGTAAGCCATTTCTGGAATTATGTAACAAACACAGCCGTGTTATTACCCTGATTGACAATACAAATAGAATAGGAATGTCATTCACCGGTATACCTGTTTACTAAACCCAACTCTCAACTCCCCCAAAGCACCCCCCCTCCCCACACACCACACACTTATGACATTCTTATTGTACAAGATACTACATTCAGGTGAACAGTACAGGATAGGTACATAGCCTGCAATCATATTTACAGGAAAACACTTTCATTAAGAAAAAAAAATAGTATAACATATAAAACTGCGACACAAGTCATTTCGTAATTTAATGTAAAGGAAAAAAATTACCATTCCAAATCAATCTGAGGCAGCTGATCAAAAAATTCAATGCAATAAGGCAACCTGGAGGCGTCCGGTACACTCTTGGAGGTCTATTTATAACCAGTTTGCAACCCCCCTAAAATCCCTTACCAGACCGTTGATCTGAGCAGCAGCCTGGCAGAGCAGGAAAGGGGTGGGGACTGTGCAGCCCCCTCCCCCCCTTTCTGCACCATACCAGGCTATTTGCCCTCAACATGCGGAGGGTGTTTTTCAAAGGGGGACCTTGCCCCCATGTTGATGAGGACAATGGCCTCTTCCACACAACCCTGGCCTGGACAGGGGGGGGGTCATTTGAATCTGGTTTTCCCCGTTGCTCCGCTCCTTTGTTTGCATTCAGTGACAGCTCTTGGTCCCCTAATGGAATGTAGCAGAAAGGAGCAGGAAAAGCAGAGTAAGATGGAGAAAGGGAACACATACTAGTCACTGCAGTTCCATGGGGGGGGAGCTCACCTAAAGGCTCGTTCATCCCCTCCTGACAGGGTGAGAGATGTGCTACTGTGACATGTTTACATACAAAGAACAAAGAAAGAGAATTGTATCAGGCTGTATGACACAAGAAGGAGTTCTCTGCAGTTTATATGAAATGTTACCAAACATACAGAAACAGTAACCAAAGCAGCAGAATCCACATTTGCTGCACTTTACACCTATCGGTATATCAGGACTGTCTTGCAACATACAGGACACCAGGGACATCTATGCAGGGAAGGGGGCCGGTCCAGGCTCTGGTGAATGAGAAGGTCATGGACATGGTTGTGTTGCATGGTTCACCATGGGTAGCTTTAGTCATCCATACCGTACCCTAACCAGCTCCACCCGCTCCAACACCCAGGAGAAACTTTGTCAAATATTTTTAGGTGTGCTATAAAAACCTGATTTTCCAGCTCACAACCAATGCGTGTCCTTCACAGTTGTCTGGTTCACCAGCATTTATACAGTGGAATAGAAAAGTGAGATCTTAGACAATGATTAAAAGAATGATTTATTGAAGACGTTAAAGGCCACCTAGTGACTACAGTAGCCCAGAGCCAGTGGGCAGCCATTATTTCCCAATGTTCTGACTGGTGGAAGGTGGAATTGAGTTGCTATGGTTACTGAACTTTGCACATTATCATTGTTCTTTGCACTTCTTTATGAAATAAACTACATTCTAAAGTGTTCCTAAGACATAAACTATACACACAATAGAGGTAGCACTGTATACCGATGTCTGGATCAATGGAGATCAACTGGCAACTTAGGGGGTGCTTTATATTTTGCTAGGGTTTTTTTTATTTCTTCCTTTAACTTGAAGAGGTCTGTGGACCAGGAGAGGAGAACTGAGAAGAAAAAAAAAACCTAACAGCTTCACAATGTAGCTTTTACTGGCTGCTAGCGCTCCTGGGTCTTCTTCCACCATCTGTTGGCAGGAAAGCACATCCTCTGTTGCTAGGCAGCAGGCAGCTTTTTAAGCAACTGGCACTGTCTTTCTTAAACTTTTTAACATGGAGGAAGCCTTGAAATTATTTTCAGGTATCAGGGAGCCCTTGCTAATAAATATTATATCTACAGCTCATGGTACATTAGCTTGGTGGCCAGTGGGAAGAAGGTCCCTTCATTGGTGTTAATTGGGAAGAACTCTCCTTGCATTGGTGGTCAGTGGGAGGAATGCAGATTACATTGGTGGTCAGTGGGAGGAATGTAGATTACATTTGTGGTCAGTGGGAGGAATGTAGATTACATTGGTGGTCAGTGGTAAAAATGCTCCTTACATTGATGGTCAGTGGGAA